AGCAGCAGCTGTTTCTTTCACCTCCACCACACTCTTCTCTGATCTACACTTTTCTTCAGGAATGTGCCTGGTTACATCCATTTGAGATGGAGATATGGATGCTGCAGTAGCTGCCAGGTCACCTGCACTCTGACTAACTGGAAGATCAGGCATCTCCTCACCACTCTCATCCTCTCTGGGGCCGGAAGGCTCACCGTGAACATTTGTGTGTATGTATCTCAGGAGAGCTTCTTCCTGCTTAGATAGAAAAGCTTCCTTTGCTTTCTTTCTTTTTCTGAATGCTGCCCCAGAGGGGCATTTTCTTCTTTCACTCAGGACAGCTGTTCTGTGCCAGCTAGAGTGGCTCTCAACACTCAATTGAAGGGGACAAATACTCAGGCTGGTAGCAGGCCCTGAGTGAGGGAAGATACCAGCATCTTAAGGGCCTAACTGGCTCCTCCTACTTCAGTTGGCTGCCTGTTCTCCTCAAGGGGGTTCAGGGAAGCAGCAGGAAACAGGAAGCTCCCTGAGAAGCTGGTGTGAATCAGTCCAGGCTCCTGGGGTGCTGGAGAGGTACATAAGAGGCTCCTCCTCCTCTCTCTCCCTGCAGCTCCTGCTGCTTTCTGTTATTCCCTCTCACCTTTTCTCCTGCCTGCCTGTGATGTCTCTTGTGCCCTCCTTCCTCCAGCACAGCTCTTCACCATCTCTGTGCGACTCGAGCAGAGAGAATACATATGCACCCACAGCAGACACAATTTTCAACACTCTGGGTCCTAGTGGCGCCCCCCCCTCCACACAGTCTGGCCCCTGAGGCGGCCCCTCCGTTCGCCTCAGGGTAAGGCCAGCCCTGCGGTGGGCTTCCCCTTCAATGACAAATGTGACTGAATGAATCTAAGCCATGGAGGGACAAACTCCTGAGGAAGGGGGTGGATCCCCCATCTGTTGGTGCCCTCAGATCCAGGCTGGCTGTCCTCTTGGATGATGCTTTAGTCCAGGGGTGGGGAACCTTTTTTCTATCAGGGGCCACTGACCCACAGAAAAAATCAGTCAAGGGCCACACACAGCCCCGTGGGGTGGGGCACAGAGGCTCGGGGCTTCCCCTAGGCTCTGGGGTGGGGCCAGAAATGAGGGGTTCCGGGTGTGGGAGGAGGTGAAGGCTGGGGCTGGGGGTGTGGGCTCTGGTGCGGGGTCTGGGAGGGAGTTAGGGTGTGGGAGGAGATTCCAACCTGGGGCAGGGGATTCTGGGTGTGGGAGGAGGTGAAGGCTCGGGGTTGGGGTGGGGATGGGGCATCTGGGAGGGAGTTAGGGTGTGTGTGTGGGGGTTCCGACCTGGGGCAGGGCATTGGGGTGGAGGTGCGGGGTCCGGGAGGGAGTTAGAGTGTGTGTGGGGGGGTCCGACATGGGGCAGGGGATGTGGGCTGGGTGTGGGGTCTGGGAGAGAGTTAGGGTGTGGGAAGGGGTTCCGACCTGGCGCATGGAGTTCGGGGTGCGGGCTCCGGCAGGGCAGCGCTTACCTCAGGCGGGGCCCGGTCAGTGGCACAGCGGGGCTAAGGCAGGCTGTCTGCATGCCAGGGCTCCGCACTGCTCTCAGAAGTGGCCGCCATGTCCGGCCCCTAGGTGGAGGGGCCAGGGAGCTCTGCGTGGGGCGTGCTGCCTGTGGCCACAGGCGCCACCCCCACAGCTCCCATTGGAGCTCAGCTCTCATTGGTTCCTGGCCAATGAGAGCTGCGGAGCTGGCGCTGCGGGCGGGGACAGCGCATGGAGTTTCCCACATCACCCCTGCACCTAGGGGCCGGACATGCCGGTCACTGCCAGGAGCTGCCTGGAGCCGACCGGACTTCTGACAACCTGGCGAGCTGGCACTCGTGGCTCCAGCCCCATGGGGGGTGGGGGGTGGGGCGCCGAGGCTCGGGACTATCAGCCCGCGGCGTGGAGACTTGCTGCAGGATGGTTGAAATGAAGTAGGAGGCCGGATCCGGCCCACGGGCCATAGGTTCCCCTCCCTTGCTTTAGTCAGACACAAGTTATTGGGCTCAGTCCCGGGAGCATAGACGAAATGTTCTGGCCTGGGCTGTATAGGACTCAGACTGAAGGAACTAAAGGTCCCTTCTGGCTTTAAACTCTATGAATATGAATCTGTGACTCTGATGCTGCTGATACCCAGGGCTGAGGTGCTACCTCCAGGCAGTTCTAGGGAGGAAGTCAGTCACATGGACAAAGGCCTCTGGGAGGCGGCTCCTCCATGGATACCCCGCACTCAAGGCCTCCTTGCAGTCCCATTGGAGAGAACTGAAAAGGGAGCAGCAGATAAAAGGAGGATGGTACAGACACAGCATTAAGTGCCACTCACGTTTACAACAGTTTCTGGACCATTGCGCCTTGCAAGCACCTGTCTTGGAACAGCGATGATCACAAACAGCATGCAGGGAATCCCTTCTGCCTGGAAACTCAGCTCAACACCAGTGCCTGGTTCCCAGATAGCTGCTCCACCTCAGGAATTGGCTCCAGTTAGAGATCAAGGTAGAACAAATTCTCTAGCTCCTTGCACTGCTCCGGCCTCTGAACTCACCCCCTCTACACTGAACCTTGCATAGCAAAAATTAACAGCAACACGACGTGTCTTCCCAAGTCTGAACATCTGCTCACATGCAAAGGAAAAGAACTTGGAAGAGCATGTGTAACAGCACCCTCTGGTGACCCATCCCTTGCCTTAGAATCTCTGGCTCGTATGTCTCCCATCGCCAGTGTCTTGTCCTCGCAGACCATGGTAGCTGTTATTTATTGCTATTTGTATTGCGGTCAGGGATTGGGGCCCTGCTGTGCTTGGCGCTGCACAAACACATTGAACAGCAGACCCTCCCTGCCCTGAAGAGTGGACAGTTTAATGTAAGGTGAGAAATAGCAGGTGGATACAAGCAACCGACAGGGTGGGTGGGGCACAAGGTAGCAGTCGGACAGTTTCGCTCAGTGCCGTAAGCAGCGGCTGCAGGACACGCTCTGAGGCTGAAGTGGGACTAAAGTGGTGCCCAGGCCCTAGGCCCCCTGCAAAGGGACGATTCCCACACAAGAGCTTTGCTGTATTGTGAGTCCCTGGAGCGTCATACAGCAGGTGTGGGTCACTGGACGCTGCCCTCTGCTGGAGCAGACTTAGGGCTGCTTCCCCTGGGCCTTGCTCCCTTTTCATGCCATTGACTGCAATGGTGCAACGCAGGCAGAGCGCCCCAGCTCTGCAAAGCCAGGGGGACTGTCCTGCTGGGGGGGGTTCTCAGCAGCACACAAAGCAGGCAAGGACGTTTGTGGCTGCGATGTGGGGGACTCTGTTCTCCCAGAGAAGTGCTTCTTGCAGCACTGCAGCGCCTGGAGGTATCGGACTCCACTCCGAATCACGCTCCCTGCCTCATGCTGCTGGCGGGCTCTGTGTGTGCGGAGCAGGGAAGGAAGAATGGACATGCAGGGGGAGTCCCAGCTCCGCCAGCCATATCACCTCGCTGGTGCCAGGGAAACAAATGAGCACTGGTTCTCGTGTAGAACTTTGTGTAGTTTAGAGCACTGGGTCAGGCTGGGGGTTTTAACCAACTGCCACCAGGGCCAGAGGATCGGGGAGCTACTGCCAGGGCTGCACTTCGCCAGCATGAAACAAAGAACCTGTCCAGCTTGTCAGCTCATCAGCTCATGTTAATCTGCTGGCTGGGGGGGTGGGAGGGGAGGGCTGGTGCTTTATGGCTGCTGGGTTTCTTTTAAAGACTGGGCGGGTCATTTAAGTCATTTTGTATAACAAGAGAGCATCCCCAAATAGGGGACATTGCGCTGGGATGTGACGTTGACATGTCACTGTGACAGTGTGGCTTCAGGACAGCAGTGATGGCAGTAAGAATATCTCTGATCCCAAAGGGTCCTAAAGTGTTCGACAGACATTTTCTAGACAGATGGATCACTTCCCCACTGCTGAAACGCAGCCACTTGTTGGGTGTGAACCCAGCGTCTGTCGCAGCGCAGCACCGCAGTGTCGCAGAGGGACCGGAGAAGAATTCTGCATCGAAGGGAAAGGGCACGGAGACGTTAGGGATGCAGAATGCAGTTGCCCAATTTGAAAGTTGGTCTGGGCCCAGGAGATAACATCTAACATGAGAATTTTAATGAGCACAAATTACCAGGGCTTCCAGTTTGTGTGTTCTTGGAGAGCTCCCATTCCTGGGCCAGACAGGCCCAGCCCTGTGGATCTGATGGGCTCACGCAGCCTAGCATGGTGTGACTGCCAGTCATGCTGTGACACATCATTACTCCATGGCACAACCTTAGGCATGACCTGCTGCCATCAAAGCCACGGGGACATTTACCATGGGCTACGCTGGGAGCAGACCCATGCGCAATGCAGAAACAGAGGATGGGAAAGCTGATTGTCTGTGATCTCGGGGGTTCCTCTATCACTTGTGCTTCCTGCGTTTCCTAACAGGTTTGAATTAATTCCTGATGCAAAGTAGAGGTTAGCCATTGACCTTCTCTACATGTCCAAGTTCATGAGAGGAAAGGAAAGGGATAAAGCAACTGGGCAGGACTGGAGGAAAGGCAGCGACTGGTGCAGATTAGGAATCAGGGACAGCAGGTATCAGAGCACAGCTCCCAGCCATAGCAGGTTGTTTTCCTACGAAAATCTTTATTTAACTTCCGAAGCGTGAATGTTTCCTCCTGCAGCACAGTTACAGACTGAAAAATAACTAGGCTTTAACGCTAGTCTGCTTAGTCTCGTCTCCCCTCGAGAGGGTAACAAGCTGCTTTTAATATTTGTTGTGTTTATTAACAGATGCGGTAGTGACTGCTAAAGATTTCATATGCCAGTTACCACTGAAATGTAAGTAATGAATCAGAATTAACGGTCATAAATCAAACAGACTACAAAGAACCCTATGTTATGTCACCCTGCAGGGACTTACTGAGACCCTGTTGGCTCTGGATGTTACATTGGATGGTCCTTCGGTGAGCTCCAGTCCGGGTTTTGCAACAGTCACAATATTTTGGCTGGATATTGTCTTAGGAGGTGGTACTAGTAGGGTGGAATTCCCTCATGCTGGAGTTTGCACTGGATGCTTTTACAAAGCTGGATACTCTGGTAATGATAATAATTTAAAAAAAAACAACAACCCACAACCATATTCCTTGAATGGGGATGGAGTCTGCGGCCTTGCGAGCAGGCGTTATTAATGTGCCAATTGCTCTGATATGATCACATACACAGGGAGCAGTGTGGGCTGATGGAGTAAAAACTAGCCTGGGCAATCTTTACGAGCTGAAATCCTGCACATCCCAGAAGGGTTTGTTTCTCTCCGCAGAGTTTGTGAGGCTATTTGAAATCTGCCTCAAAACCAACCAGCCAAAGAACCCCCAGAAGCCCTGTTGCACCAGACTTCCCCGTGAGCTGGCAGGGATGGTTTTTTGTTTGTTTGTTTTTTTGACAGAAACTTGCGTGTAACTTTCCCTGGAGGAACAGACGATTTTTGTGATTGTTCTTGCGGTATTTTAAAACTGAGAAACTAGTAGAGTCTCTTCAGCCGTCATGAGTGACTGACAACTCGGAGGTAAGGATTTCACAATGCATGTTTGTTTAGATTAAGCTTTCGCAATGCAGGCTGTTAGCTAGGAGTGTGAGCCTTGTCGGCTTCTGACTTGTGGGTTTGCCTCGTGCAATATGGCTAATGAATTAGGACAATGGGAAGCTGTGAAGAATTACAGCAAACTCAGTGGGGATTTCCTCAGTGCCCCAACCACCAAACTGGGAGAAGTGTTATGGGGAAGGTGGGTTATTTCTGTTCTCTGCTTGTATGTTACCTGCCAGATCTTAGTGTAGGACACAAGGAGAGTTATTCAGAAATATGTATTAGGACAGGGGTTCTCAGATTTTTGTACGGGTGACCCCTTTCACACAGCAAGCCTCTGAGTGCCACCCCCCCTTATACACTAAAAACACTTTTTAATATATTTAACACCATTATAAATGCTGGAGGCAAAGTGGAATTTGGGGTGGAGGGTGACAGCTCGCGACCACCCCATGTAATAACCTCGCGACCCCCTGAGGGGTCCCAACCCCCAGTTTGAGAACCCCTGTATTAGGATATTAAAATGAGCTGCTGCTACTGTACCAGCCACAAAACCCCACCAGCCGCAGCGCAGGCGTCTAGTACTTCGTAACTGGCCGTACCACCACTACCAGTTCCACCCTGACTTTCAAAGACAGGAGCAAGCGCTGCGGTTACCTGAACAATCAGGAGGATAGCTAACTGAGTAGGAAACTATTTGCATATTTAAATTGCCAATGATAATTCAGCCTCCTTGCAAAGGAAGGGGCCATCTGTGCATCGCAGGTACCTGCACGGCACCCGGTAAGTGTGTTGACTGGCTGTTTCTCACAGGGGTAGCAGTGTGGAAACGATTACAAGTGATGCTGGTAGTAATTAGACGTCCGAGTTAACACCCCTTGCTGATGTGCAGGGGGAGTTCACCCGTTGGGAAGTGCTGCTGTCTCCCTGTTTGGCTGTCAAACTGGTGGGATAACGAGGCACTGGGCTCTGCACTAGGGGGTGTTCCCACAACCAGAGGGGCTGGCCGCTGATGTTTGGGTTTGCTTTGTTTAATGAAAGGTCGGAATGTGGAGAAAAAAGCCTGCTCTGTGGGGAGCACCTCAGGGCACAAAGGGTTCTCGGTGCCATCTGCCTATAGCTGGGAGAGCGCAGAACGCTGGGAGTTTGGGGACTTTCTGTCCCGCAGATTCCTGTTGTCTCCTGCAAAGTCAGGGCTATGGGGTCCTTTGCACCTCCCTCATGATGGAGAGCAGTGCCCTAGGGAGACGCATCACTTGGGAGAGGTAGGCATGTAAAGTACTGTCCTGCCAGCAGAGGAAGGCTCTGCGGGCACTGGGCGTTCTCTCTCTGCCCAGCACTGTTGGGCACAGAGCTGAGCAACGCTAGAAACCTTTGTCTCCTGCCTAGGGATCCATGCACTCAGCGGGACAACTCCCAGGAGTACGTACTGCTCAGGGGTGCCACAACAGGTGCCTAGGGTGGGACTGTTCACAGCTGAGACCCCTGGGAGACAGCCAGCTTGCACTGAGAGATGAAGGTTCCTGGGGGGTTCCCGTTATTTCGGTCAGTCTCAGGTATTTATCTGGGACCTGGCACCATAGCATCTGAGCACGTCGGAATATTTACTGGTGAGGCAGCGCAGGGGAAACGGAGCCACAGAGAGACAGGGATTTGCCCAAAGTCACATCGGATGTCTGCAGCAGAGCAGGGAACTGAACCTGCCTCTTCTCCAGCCTAGGCTAACACCTGAGCATAGGACCATCCTGCCTCTGTGTCAAATACCAGTGCATGTAAAAGGCTGCACAGATTTCCACTCAGACAGACCTCAGCTCCCCCCCCTCACGACACTCCCACCCCCCTAAGGGAATGTAAAAGGAACACCAGACAGGGAGAAAGCAGTGATGGGGCAAAGAGAGAGGAAAACCAAACAACAGGGAGCAAAATATGCTCTTGAGAAAGGCAAGGTTCTCCCATGCGAAGTCTGCTCCCAGCTCGACTCCCTGCCCTCAGCCAGGGATCTGGAGATAGCCCTGACCCGGAGAGATGCCCTCCTTTGGGGTACAGTTAAGGCGAATCCGGTAGTAGAAACAGACAGGTGTTGCCAAGTATCCCTGGTTCAGACAGCCCCAGCTGACAGCTCCTGGGGATGACACCTTCTGATTTTAGCTTCCCCAAGTTGCTTTTACATGCTGGACTTGGCCTGTGTCTGCTGGAGAAAGCCTCGCATTACAGACCAACCCGGGCAGGTTGTGTGAGCAGCTGAGCAGTGCCAGGTTTTGGGGGCAGCCCGGCGGCACACCCCAGGCTTGTGCTGCTGGAGTCCTCCCTGCATCTCTCCTGTCCCTGACCCAGCCGCAGCCCAGTCCCCCGGGTCCCTCTGTTCAAGTGGCAGCAGTAGAATTCCCCCAAGAAGACAGACTGCAAATTAGTTCACAGCTAAACTTGCTGGAACGCCTTGATCAGGGAGAGCACAAGACCTCCACCCCCCAATCTCCTTGTCCTGTCCCAAACAAAGCTGGGGGCTCTCTTGATTTTTCCCAGTCTTGTTTTTCCATCTGCTTCTGAGGGGAGTGCAGGACTCTGGGGCTCTGCAGGGTTCAGATTTTGAAGCCAGTGTGACATTTAGACAGGGCGGCAAGAGTGCTGGCAATCCTTTTAGGAATCTTGTGTTTAGCAGATGCTTCCTTTGCATGGGGCTTCGTCCTCTGCACAGACAGCGCTGCATGTTGCCCTGGGACTCTGAGCCCGTGTTTCACCCCTGTTCTGCGCAAAGCGATTCGCACATCAGCTTTTCACTCACGCTGGCTTCTCTCAGGGCAGGTCTATACTGCAAACTTTTGCCAGCCCTGGCAGCTCTGTTGGTCAGAGGCATGAGGAGATGTGAGTTTTAACCAGCACAGCTGTGCTACCAAAAGGCCCTAATGCAGACACAGCTCTAGCAGCAAAGATGCGCTTTTCGTTTATTTTGCCCGGGGGGTGGAATAAGCTATACCAGCAAAGGGGTATAAGCGGTGTTCACACTAGGAGCGCTCTGCCAGCGTAGCATACGGATGTTGCTCTACTGGCAAAATGCTCCGAATGGACGCCTGGCCTAAGCCATGGAGGCTTGGTGTGAATGTAAAGCAATTTAATTAAACGGATGCAAACTGTTGTGTGGATGCTCTTAAACCGAAAGAACAGGGGCTTGCAGCGGCTTAACCAAAGAGGCGCTCGTTCGTGTGTCGACCAGCCTGCAGCCTTCGGCAGTTTGCTCAGAATTATTTAGGGCTTTGCACTAGTTCTCTGAGGGTCACAGAGGAAGAGTGAGGGGTTCTGTCTTCATGCAGTGTGGGCAGGTGCCTCTTCTCTTGTCTCTCTGTCTTTAACTCTGTTAAGTATTTGTGAGGGAGGCAATCCTGGCTTTCAGTGACTGAGGTTAGCAGAAATATTCAGAGGGTGCTTCTAAGGGAACAGCCGCACATTTAGCCCCACCTTGGTCTGCTCTGAAAACGCAGCTGAAAACACCTCTTCTGAGTCTTCTCTTCCTCATCTGGACCTCTGCTTTTCATCTTTAGTTTGCATTTTGTAAGTGCGTTACTGAACCCAGGGACAATGCAATGTACAGTTCTACCTTGCAAAAAAGCCCTGGGGGAAATGAAGGAATGTTTGCATTGGACCTGTCCCAAACAAAATCCCCAGACACACTCCTAATCTGCTCCCAATACCATTTAATGTAGCAGTGCCTGACATGATGCCTCCTGTGCATTTATAATGACGCCAGAAGGCACACTAAGGTGCAGAAGGAACGCAGGTGTTGTGTCTCTCCCTCACTCACACAAGCACCTGAGCTCGTCATCACGCCCAGAACTTCAGGGCTCCCTTTTGGATTCCCATGAGGGTTAACACCTGTTGCACTTGCTGGGTTTGCTCTTGGAGGTGGCCTCTTTCGCTATAGAGTGTCTTTCATAGAAGCAAACTGAGAAGATGATGAGAGTCTTCTATGGGTAGGAAGTTTCCTACCTTAGGTGTCGGTTTATAATGTGTTGCACCACAGGCGATCCTGGAGCATTGGTACGTGTAGTAATGACTCTGATTAATATTTTAGTAGTACCTAGAGGCATACTGTGTACTAGGTGCTGTATAGACACCTAGTGAGAGACAGTCTCTGCTCTCAAGAGCTTACAGTCTAAATAGACCAGGCAGACTGAGGGTGAAAGAAATAGAGTATTATCACCCCCTTTTCACAGCTAAGAATAAGTGACTTCCCTAGGTCACATGGTGACTCTGTGGCAGAACCAAGGACTGAATCCAGGTGTACTGAGGCCCAGTCTAACACCTTTACTGCAAGGGCCTTCTTCCTCGTCAGTCTAACCAGCGCAATGGTATCTCCACCCAGTGCGGATAGGTGGTGACAACATGAGCTGCAGGATACAGCCTTGAGAGAGAATATGGGGCCCAGCTCAGAATGGTGGGTGGATGTGAAAGTGACGTGGTAATGTAGCCAAGCAAGGCGGTGGCAAGGGGCAGGTGGGACCTCTGGCAGGCAGGAGTCTGTTCTAGACACAGTCCCTATTGCTAGGCTCCCAGCAGAGCTGATGTGAGTGCTTTGCAGAAGCCGGCGGAAGGACTCAAACCTCAACAATGCTGTGGAGAATTCTGCTGCCAGGTTTTTTATTTTTTTCAGTGCTTAGCTTGATGGTTTATGGTTTTGGCAGAACTTTGGCTCTGAAATATAATATCAAATAAAGGCCTTCTGGTTAGGACATTTGACTTAACGCCGCTGATTTTTATTGCCTGAGGGATTAAGCAGAACAAAGTGGCTTTGAGTGTGTATGTGGATGGATGCTTGCTGGCCGGAGGCATGCCAGGCACGCTCTGGTGGTTAAGTGATCCAACGATGAACATACGTGGCACTCTTCACTGGAGCATCTCAAAGCACTTCCCTTGCGCGAGTGTTAGCGCTCACCTGGTTCTCCAGATGGGGAAACTGAGGCTCAGAGAGGAAAAGTGACTTGTCCCAA